ATGAGAATTTTCATAAAAAATAATAAATTTAAAGAATGAAATTTAAATAATAAAAGTAATATAAGTTGAAACAAATGTTAATTTTAAAAAATAAAAAGATAATATATATATATATATATATATATATATATATATATATATATATATATATATATATATATATATATATATATATATAATGATCAATTTGTGTAGAAAAAAGTGATGCTTAATTTTTAAAAATTTTAACACCTAATTAAATTAAAAAAAGAGCATAAATTGATGAAAAAAAGCAAAGGAAAAAAAACCAAAAGAAAAAAGAAAAGAAAAGGCACGTAGTGCATCAATTGGGGATTAAAATTTGAAGGACAAAAACAAAATTACAAAAAGAAAAAAACATGAGTGAACAAGTACATTGTGAGGGGGTGAACAGGTTTGTCACCGTTCAAAAGCCCCACTTCTTTTAGTTTATTAGTAATAAGAGGAAAACCCTTAAAATATGTTTTTCATGGAATGTTTTACTTACAAAAAAACATTGTAAAATTTTTATATAAGCATAAATGAATAGGTATTACTAATCATTTAATATATACTTATGAGGCTCATAGCTTTCATTTTTCATGCTTTATATATAAAAAGTTTTTCATATAGACTTAAGAAAAGACAAAAATTGTGAAGAGAGATATTGTAGATTAACAAAAGAAGAACAAAGAATGAAGCAAAGCAGAGAGATCTAGAAATTAGGAGAGAAAAGAGAAAGTAGTTTTTAGTATTCTTCCTCATAACCCCTAAGGAAAAATCCTTATACATATTTATAGTTCAGTTGTAATAGAGAAATCACTAACAAAAAAAAAAAAAAAACGAATGCCAAATAGAAAGGGAAAAGTTATTACTGTAATCGTTCTCTAATATTCTCGCCGTGGTTTATTGGTTATAACGGACTCCTCCTACCTTGCCAAAATACTTATAGAGCCTTGGTGAAATGCTCGTATGAATCATGCCCAAAGTGCACCGTATCAATACCCTCGCTTTCAATTTCCTTGTCCTCAAGGAATGTTAGAAAGCGAGTTTGAATTTTATCAACCCATTCCCAAATTGCTTCGCAAGAGACAAAACTTTTCGGTGAATAAGCCACCGAGTTGTCTGCCACATTTCTCCTCTTCACAAATCGTCGATCAATAATAGCATTGGGTTGTAGGGTCAAAGTTTGGAATGAAGGGAGCATTGGAGTAAATTGGACGGACGCACGAAAGGGTCTAAGTTGGGATACATGAAAGACATCATGGATTTGAGCATCCGTTGGTAATTGCAACCTATAAGCAACCACACCAATTTTATCCACCACCTTGAAAGGCTCATAAAATCCGGGTTATAGCTTCGAGTACCTCGATGGACTGATCGCTGTCTACGTAGCCGTAACTTCAGCAACACTTGATCCCTAATTTGAAAAACACGTTCGGATCTCTTCTTGTTAGCCAACAGCTACATATGGTGCTCGATCAACCTTCAACCTTGTCTTAAGAAGCCGATTAATGTTTTCTCTTTCTCGAAGAGTGTTATCAACAATCGCATTCTTGGAATCCCTAGCATAATGAGGTATAATTAAAGGAGAGTATCCATGCAAAGCCTCAAATGGTGTCATCTTGATAGAACTATGATAGGAATTGTTATACTAGAATTTGATTAATGGAAGCCACTTGACCCACTAGTGCGGTATATCTCCAATCATACAATCGAAGATAACTCTCAATGCAATGATTAACCACTTTTGTTTGGCCATCCGTTTGAGGGTGGTAAGCTCACGAAAGTTGGAGAGTGACCCCTTAAAGAGTGAACGGCTTTTGTCAAAAATTACTAACAAAAATAGGATCTTTGTCGAAGTAATAGTCCGAGGGAGGCCGTGTAACTCCGTAGACATAGTCCAAAAAGAGTTGTGCCACATTCCGAACGAGTATAAGGGTAGGAAAGAGAAATGAAATGCTCATATTTGGTAAGACAATCTACTACCACCATAATAGTAGTCTTGCCATGAGACTTAGGAAGGTCATCGATAAAATCCATCGTGATATCCGTAAATACTCCCTCGAGTATGGGCAAAGGCTGTAATGTACCTCTAGGCAAGCTACGTTCTCGGGTTTATAACGCTGAAAAATGTTATAATTCTGAATAAATTCATGAACATCTCTTCTAAGTCCCTTCCAATAGACTAAAGAAGTCAATTTATGTGTAGTAGTATGAACTCTAGAGTGTCCACCCAAAGATGAGGAATGAAAGAAGTGCAATAACTGCCGAATGGGTTATGGATTAGTACCTATCATTAGCTTGCCTTTTCGTCTCGGCTCATTCTTTTGCCAAAAGTATTTAGGAAATTGTTGACTATCCCGAAGTTTGGCTTTAAATAATCCCTTGCAATACATCATCACTCTCCCATGTTTTTTTGATTTCTTCCAAGAAATATGAAGGGATGGCAATGATATTAGAGCGTGATACTCTAACAGTGGCCTCCTAGAAAGAGCATCGACGACAATGTTACTCTTTCTTTGTTTGAACTAAATTTCATAGTCAAATTGCATAAGTTTGACGACCCACGCCCGTTGAGAATATGTAGTAAATCGCCGTTCTAATAGGTGTTTCGGACTTTGGTGGTTTGTTTTAATAACAAAGTGACGATCCGTGATGTATATCTCTCATTTCTTGATTGCAAACGAGTATCGTCATCATCTCTTTTTCATAGATGGAATGCAACTAATGTTTTAGAGCTATGTTTTACCGATGAAAGCAATGAGGTGTCCCTTTTGCATAAGGATAGCTCCAATACCATCCTCCGAAGCATCGATTTCAATTACAAATGTTTCTTGAAAGTCGAGTAAATCAAGGACTCGGAGTGGTAATCATAGCCTATTGGAGCTTTTTAATGGATTATTGAGCTATTGAATTCTAAGAGAATGCATCTTTTTTTAGCAAGTTTGTAAGTGGATGGGCTATCTTTCCATAATTAGCAATAAATCTCCCGTAGTAACCGAGTGAGTCCTAAGAAACTTCTCAATTGTTTGATGGTTTTTGGAGTCTACCAATCTTGAATTGTTATAATTTTTTCAAGGTCTGTCTTAACCCTCTCACTTGGTGATAATATGCCCCGGATATACAATGTGTAAGCACCCAAAGTAACACTTCTTCATCTTGGTAAAGAGTCGATGATCTTGAAGGGTCGAGAACGGTAGCCAAATGAAGAAGATGATCTTCTTTAGTCCTGCTGTAGACAAGAATGTCATAAAAAAACACAAAGATAAACTTTCATAAAAATGGTCGAAAAACATTATTCATCAAGTGTTGAAATGTAGAAGGCGCATTAATGAGTTCGAAAGGCATAACAAAGAACTCATAATGGCCCTCATGAGTTCCGAAAGCGATCTTATGAACATCTCTCGGATCCATTCTAACTCGTTAATAGCTCGACCATAGGTCTATCTTGGAAAACACCGTTGAACCTCCCAATTCCTCTAACAATTCCTCAATGATCGGAATAGGAAATTGCTTTTAATGGTGGCATGATTAAGAGCCCGATAATCCATACACATACGCCACGACCAATCTTTCATTTTAACCAAAACTATAGGACTTGTAAACGGGCTTTTGCTATGTTGTATGATACCGACCTCCAACATCTCCTTGGACATTTTCTTAATTTCATCCTTCGAAAACCAAGCATATCTATATGATCCGATGTTTATGAGGTTGGTTCCCTCGTTGAGCTCAATCCTATGGTCATGGTCACGGTATAAAGGTAGGGTAATAGTCTCGTCAAAAACTTTAGGGTATTGTTTAAGTAGGTTTTGTGGTTGGGGTTATGATTGTTCCGGTTGAGAGTTGCTTCCAGTTATAACACATAGTGTCGGTGTCGGTAGAAAGTGTCGGGTAGCTATCTCGGAAGGGTGAGTGAGTATTTTTTTTCTAACCTGTGGTTGTTCACAAGTTTGACGGATCCCTCTTGTCTTTCTTCTAAACAATAAGGTTGTTGGTCCACACAAAAAACTATTTGAAGCTCATTAAAATTTCACAAGATGTCTCCCAATGAAGAGAGCCATTGCGGTCCCAAAACCAGCATCATAACGATCCAAGGGCAGACAAGAAAACCTTTGCTAGAAACAATCAACTTTGCATCTTCCATTTAAACTTAAGAATCATGGCATCACATCGATGGAATGGCCATTTGCAACGATCACGACCATCGCCTCAACTTCTTGCACTTCACACTTTAATTTATGGGCAATAGTTAGCACCGATAAAATTATGGGTACTATCCGAATCCATCAAAATGTGTAAGCGATTCTTGTCATAATAACCTTCTAGCCTCATGGTTCTCTCTTTTTTTCCACACAAAGCATGGAGGGACATTTAGAAGTTGTCATCCGTAGGGCGGTCTTCAAACACCTCTTCTTCAACTTCCTCCCCATTTGTATTAACTTGCAATTGCAACATAAAAACTTATCGTTTCTTACATTTGTGCCTTGGTGTGAACCTTTTATCGGACCAAAAACATAAACCCTTAGCTCTTCGTTCATTAAGGTTTCGCTCGGTCGAGGACTTGAGGTTGTTTTGTGGGGGAATGTAAGGTCTAGCTTGGTCCGTGCGTCTTGGTATATTTGGTGTAGGTAAGAGACCAATTTTTTGGGTGAATGGGGTCGTTTGTTTGTTAGGCTTCTCAAGTAATATTGGTGTTGGTGGGAATGGTTTTGAGAATTTAGGGAATAAGAGGGTAGGTATTAGATTGGTGGGATTTCAAATAGCTTCTATGGTGAGCTCTTGTAACTCAAGATAAGGAATAGGCTTCAGCTAATAAAGTTGGTTTAAACATTCTTACGGGCATTTGAAGGGCGGTAACAAGATTAGAAATGAAAAAACTCATAGCTCGAGCTTCTGGATCTCGGTCCATGGATAAATCACATTAAACTCATCAATATAGTCTTGTAAGGTACTTGCTTATCTCGGGTTTCTTAAGTTAGCTAAAGGGTCATCATGAACTAGAGCCCAAAACGAGGTCTCATGCTCCGTATATACATTTTCCAGTCTTCATATGTAGCTAATCCATGAAGCTTAACATACCCTTGGTGCCATTGTAGGGCCCTTTCACTTAGTTGAGAGGTAGCCGACTTCACCTTCATGTGAAGTGGAATCTCTTTTACTTTAAAATGACATTCAACTTTCATAACCCAACCTCGAAATCTTTACCATCAAATTTTGGGAAGTCAAGTTTGTGGGATGATCCATAAGAGAAATGAGTGTTTCTTTTGTCTCCAATATCTCTTTGATTGAATTGTGAGGTTTCTTCAACATTCTTGGAAGATAGCATTTTCCTATATTGAACACTAAGTCCTCCAATCAAGGATTTGAGTTCATCTATGGATTTGTTGAGTCTCGTTCTCTTGGCGTTGTTCAACTTCCTCCACCGGAGAAGTAAGCTCTCGTCGAGCTCTTGAAGACGGGTTCCTTCTACCATTGTCCAAGGAGCGAGGGCTCGATACCAAATGTTGCAGATTAACAAAAGAAGAATAAAGAATGAAGCGAGTAGAGAGATCCGAAATTGTGGGAGAAAAGAGAAAGTAATTTTTAATATTTTTCCTCATAACCCCTAATGAAAAATCCCCATACATATTTATAGTTCAGCTATAATAGAGAAATCACTAACAAAAAAAAAAAAAAAAAAAAAAAAAAATAGAATGCCAAATAGAAAGAGAAAAGTTGTTGCTGCAGCTGCTCTCCAATATTCTCATTATGGTTTATTGGTTATAACATACTCTTTTTGCTTTGCTAAAATACTTATAAAGCCTTGGTGAAACGCTTTGTATGACTTATGCCTAAAGTGTACCGTATCAAGAGAAGTAAATTTTTAAAGTTCATTTAATGAATTATAATTTTTAAATAAATATTTTATTAGTGAATAATACTAAAAAATACAACAAAAATTCTTTAACAAGAAAAATATGAATCGCGACCAAAACAATTTTTTGAACAATCAAATTTGGTGTCACAAATGATTTTTTTAAAAAAAAAACGTTAAATTTCAATATACTAGTCAAAGGCGGAGCCTATAAAATAGCCCAGCAAGATTTGATAAATTCTTTATGTGTGATGTGTACTGGTTTTACAGGACGAAACAGGATAAGAGAGAAGGAGCGTGCCATGGTTACATTTGGTTCGGAATATAGGGATAATTTTTTTTTTTCTATATCTCTATTTGATTGTGGGAAACGAGGCATGATAAAACGCAACAAATGACTGCTTTACTCTTGCATTCTATTGTTTTATCCTTTTTTTATATTTGAAATGTGTTTTGAATACATTTTTTTTCTATTTCACTATATTTTAAAATTATTTAACAGTCATAAAAAGATTCACTCAATAAGAAGGAATAATAATTTATTTTTTTAAAAAATTATATTGTACAAAAACATTTTCCTGTCTAAAAATAAACAAATACGTGTGTCAACGAAGTAACAAATTTTATTAAATAGAATTGCGGATACAATCTCTATTAAATGTTTTTTTTTAAAAAAAATGAAAAACTCCTTTAATTCATCCCTTTATATAGGTTTTGACTTGGGATTCTCTCTCAGATACAAGTCAAGATTTAATACTTTGCGAAAACACGAGATTTGGACATGTGCTGCAGAGCAAGATTTAAAAAGTATTTCGTAGACGCTTTTGACTTTGTCCTCGTATTTGTTATTGATGATGTCCTACGGGACGCTTGACTTTAATCCGACAGAAAAATACTTTCATCGAAGACTTCAAGCGTAGATGGTGGAGGCTAGAGAGTGTTTTGGCAGAATTCCGTGTCTGAAAAGAGTTTGGTTATTATCATTACTTATTTATGGGAGTGACTACTTCTATTCATAGAAGTTTGGATGGTCACTCAGATCATTTGTCTTTGTCTCATCTCATCGTTTTAGTGGCTAATTTTTCAGAAAAATGCTTGAGAGGCACCATGGTGATAGATATCATTTTTAAAAATAGAAAGAGTTTAGAAGTAAATTTTAAAAAATAAAAATATTAAATGATATAATATCTATTGAAATAAACTATCATTCCTTGTATTTCTTCAAGAAAACAGCTATCTTTATAAAATCATAGTTATTTTTTTTTTTGACACCACCGATGTCATGTAGCATTATTCTTTTTTTATACTATGGGATTTTGTATTAATAATATTATATTTTATTAATGACAAAATATTATGTCTTAGGTGCCAATTTGTATTGGCCATTAAATAATATTTGAAGGTCTATTTGTTGTCATATCATTTATTTTTAGGATGAAGATATTAATCTATTCTTATATGATACTTAAAACGTCTCATATGTTTTTAGCTTTTTAATTGTATCTCATGTGTTTTTTAAATTATTTGAAATGTTTAATTTTTCCTTTCGATTATTTTTTCTAATCAAAATTTTTTTACCGAAATATCCCTTGTTGAAATGCATAAAAAAATCTAAAATTTTTAAAAATAGAATATTTAGATCATGTGAACTTAAGTGTTTTATTTATTATTATTATATATATTGCATTTTAGTAAAATATATTTCAATAAAAAAATTTCATGATCGGAAAATTTGATTAAAAAACAAATTAAATATTTTTAAATTTTTTTAAAAACAAATAAAATATAATTAGAAATATAGAAATAGAGGAAAGATTTTGAATATTATATAAGAATATATAAATATATCCATCTTTATTTTTATTTTGTTGTACTCATTTTGACATAAAATAAAATAAATTGACATATGGTAATTTAAATTGGTTGAAAATTTTTTATTTCTACGCATGCCTCTCGAGATAAGTTCATTTTCTTTACAGGTGAATGAGCGGGTCTCGAACATTTGATGGATGCTGTAATATATATATATATATACCGTCGTGAAATTTTTTGCAGCTTCTGTGGTCAAGCTAGACTGAATTTTGTTGCTTGATAGGCCAGACTCAGCATTCAATTTTCTTTTTCTTGGGTTCGTTGATGAATCACTACCGTTGCTAAATTAATAAGCCCACAATCTTGATCGTCTAATAAACCCAGTTCCACTTTCTTAATGAGCCCTCTTAGCCCAAGTCCTAAGCATGTCAGGTTTTTCTACAGGAAATTTAGTCAACACTTGATTTCCCAAAAACGGAAGGAAATCAAAAGTTTCTCCGCAAGCAGCGAGAATTAGTTTGTGATGTGATTTGATTTAAAAGTTATGTTCATCTCATATTTGTTGTTCATGCCATATTTGATTTTTTCTAATAATTTAAACTGAAGTTTATGATGATTTTTCATTTGTGTGGACGAAATCATCGATGACTTCTCATTTTTATAAATAAAAATTGTCGGTGACTTTCTATTTGTATGGACGGAATAACTGAGTGGCCTTCTAATTTTATAAATCAAAATTGTCAACAATTTTCTATTTGTGTGGACAAAGTCGTTAGTGATTTTCTAATTTTGTAAACCCAAGTTGTCGTCGACTTTTCATCTATATAGGTTAAGTCGCTAGTGACTTCCTAATTTTGTAAACCTAAGTTGTTATCAGCTTTCCATTTGTATGGATGAAGTAGTTAATGACTTTCTAATTTTATGAATCGAAGTTGTCGACAAATTCCTATTTGTATTGAATAAGTCATCGATAGCCTCCCAATTATGTGAATTGAAGTCATTGGTGACTTAATATTTTTATCAATGTAAACTCGTAATTCCTAATGACTTGTCTATTTATCTAATATAGGTTTGTAATCGTTAGGAGTTAGCCAAAATTGAAATTTCTACTTCATTTTTCCCTTAAAGTATGAGTGTAGGGTTTTTATCGACCTAAAGACCAAATTACTCGAACAATTAATGCCAATAAAATAAATTCACTCAAATAGGTATAAGTTTATAACATAGTAAAACCATACTTTAATTTTTATATACATACAATGCAGCCTACCTCGGATAAGACGTAATAGTGATGGTGTTGATCTTCTCCACTCGTGAATCGACCTCTTACCTAGATATTTGTATAGATAAGTTATTTTAGGATTTCCTAACTTCTCCGATGCTAGGTGGTAACTTTTTCTTAATTCTATATCTTTCCTTGAAGAACCCGTCAATCATCGAAAACCTATTGACGTCGCCTCCGTGACAATTGTTATCTTTTCAAAGACATAACTAATTTTTTATCCATGATTTATAAATCTAGTGTTTTTTTTTTAAGATTTTTTTAATTACCTTTAATACTAGGTAACGATTCCAAAATCCTTCTTAATTTTTTTTCCTTAGACATAAAATTTTTGAGAAATATTCTAAATGTCAGATAGCGACAAATAGTATTTATGTTGCGTAGTAAACGAGCTATAATTGTTAACAAGAAAAGTGAAATGGTGAAATGTTTTGTACAAATTAGTAGTTTTATAATTGAATGTGTCTAACAATATATTATATTCTATATTTCTACTGTATTTTATATGTTTGTTTGTAGGTTAACTACTTTGAGATTGAAAAATAATTTTTATTCATTTATCACATCTTTTGTGACTTCCATGTGCACTCACTTGTGAACTAGGTCACGAAATAAGATCTGAAACAATAAGCATCAAACTATATTAACCTTCTTTGAACTGCTACTTCTTTTTTTTTTTTTTTTTGACAAAATTCTAATTATTTCCTAATTAGCTTCTGTGTTTCTTTTAAGTACTGACTAATATTGATCTTTCAATTGTATTAACTAATACTACTATTTCAATTTTCAATCCGTGCACACCCACTGAGAAAATAAATTTTAGCTGCATGTGAAAATAATCAATTTTGGTTTCAAGTGTGGAAGCTCATAAAATTGTGCTACGAACTTTGTAAAATATTTTCTATCTTGGTGTATTTATGAGATATTTGCTGATCTAATAGACCCATTGCAGAGAGCAAACCTCTATAACATTTAGACCAAACTACTGCATAGTTTAAACAATGTTAACGACAGATGTACAAGGAAAATTCCCTGTAAAAAGTGGCTTCTAAAAGCCTACTAAACATTTAAGATCAGCAAAACTTGATCAACTTTGTTATCAATCTCAGCATGTCTATGATCATGCTCTTACTATTATTGTTAGCCACATTACCTAGAATTTGTTTTGATTTAGCTCAATTGTTTGCATAATCACTCCTGGGCATTAGAATTTATTCAACCAACATCAAAGCAATCTAGAAATCATCACATTCTCGTGATCAAGATGAACTATGCAAAGAATAAGTGAAAAAAAACTAAAAAAAAAAGCCTAGTAAAATAGCGTTTTCCTTATAAATCACTTCATTTTTACAATATTTTTCCATGAACTAATCAAGTAAAGACATACTTTAAAACTTGTTTGATAGGAAAAAAATGATGTGAAAGAAAAAGAAAATTACATCTAGAATAACAATTTCAAAAGATATTACTTCAATATATAAACCGAGAGAGAGAGAGAGAGAGAAATCAATTACCTGTTTTAGTGAGAGAGATTAGCAATAGAGACGACTCGTCTACAGCTTTTTGTGACTAGTAGGTATGACTAGTAGAGAGAGAGAAAAAAAGTAGTATTTATAGTGTTAGTTATGTAGTATTAATTAAAACCTAAAGATATATTTGAGAAAAAAATTAACACCTTTTTTTTTTTAAAAAAAAACTCTCACATGTCCATTTCCTCTCAATTAACCTGCCTTTCCTGCAATAATAAAAACTCAAAAAAAGTTTATTTTCATTTCCTATTTGTATTTTTATTTTTATCTCCCTCATTCCAGGTGCTTCATAATTTTACTTCTTAAATTCACATAAAAAATTGAAGTGATTGTATTGTTTTTTATTATGATAGATTATTTTGAAGTTAGTCTTATGATTTTTATCTTTATAAAAATTTTTCACGTAAATTTAATATTATTGTAACTATATTTTTATAATCAATTTATTTTATATTTTTTATTGTTCTATGTGTTTGACTTGATTTTTTATATATATAAAATTTGATTCGTATGAAATAAGATTAAATTCTCAACAAGTATAAATCTAATGAGAATGGATTGACTAAAGAAGGAATCTCATTTCCTTGACTTCCATGTCCATAACATAAATTTATTAAAAAAATTTAACTGCATCAAGTCCACGTTAAAATATCTATCTTTATGATCCCTCAAAGAGAGGTTCCATCTCCATTCACGTACCTTTTAGAGAAAAGAAATACAAATCTATCGCCAATGGCATTTTTCTTTGATTGACTCTGCAGGCAGGTACACCGTATATCCCTATCTCAAAGAACACTAGGTAAGCTAATGATGCAACCAACGACCAACAACGGATCCATGGAGTATTTCTCAAAAAAATCAGTTCGATCCCTGTAGATTTAACTTTCTTTTTATTTTTTGCCCCTAAAGGTATTTTCTCGACGTGTTAGACCTTCATTAAAAACTGATATAAAATTTGGTTTTTGTTTTCTTTTTTAAGAAAGTTTTTTTGATCCCAAAAAAAAATTGCTTAACATTGTTAGCTGTTAATCTTTACTAATTCAAAGTAAACATTTCTTGAGCCCCCAGTAAATTGCATCCCAACCATAACAAGAAAAAAATATTAAAAGAACAATAATGAATGAACAATATTACAAATATTATGCACAAGCATACAAATGAAGAAAAGAAAAGACATGTCAAACAAGAAAAAAAAGGACTATAAAAATGTGGTAATTAATTAATTAATTAATTTTAAAGTACAATGAACGTTACTCTCTTAGCAAATGAAACCTGTATAAATTATTTTACGTAGAAAGAACCTTATATCATTATGGGAGTTACATGTAGCACACACATACATTTTTTTTTTTTTTTTTAAATATTATTCTTTTTTGTTTCTTATGAATTATTCATGAACCGAAACAACACATCTCAAAAATTTCAAATTTCATGTTAAAAAAAAATACTATACTCAGAGATTTTATTTTTATCAATATATTCATGTTGATTTGACAAACTAAGTTCACAAATTACTAACTCTACCTACAACTAATGACTTTCAAAATGCTAAATTGGAGGTTTATAAAATCATTTTAGGATCAAGTTTTTCTTGATTTCAAGGTAAAAATTTGAAAATAAAAAAATATTTTGCTCTTCTCGGATGGATTAGGCTGTTGTTGGTTTGTCAAGTAAATATTTGCCACTTCACAAAAGAAGTTAATTGAGCTCATCAGGAAACTTTACAACCTAACTAAATCTTCTGTTTATTGGAAGACCAATTGTTAGCATCTCAAATAATTACGGACTAATTTGAACTTCTCGTTCTTCTTGTAAATTTCTTTTTGAAGAAAAACAGACAAAGACCGGTTGGTCCGTAAGATTGCAGCAGCTTCCTTCTTGTGTGTCTTCTGTCTCATTCTCTGTCGCTCCGCCTTCTACGTCAGGTACGATAGCATCTCCTTCCTTCAACTTCGCTTCTTAAATCCCTTTCCTAATCCATCCAAATTCCAACTCCTCTTTTCCTTCTATATTCCGTTTATTGCAAGTAATCCTTACTTACTCCGTCGCTCTTTTATTTTATTTTCTTAGTTTTTATCATCTAATAGCTAGGGCTTAAAAAACAAACCCCTAAATTGTCATGGCGTGATTTCTTCAATTGATCAGTACTGGTTGGAAATTTTGATTTTATTTTTTCTCAAATGGCGAACACCGTCGACGATGACGCCGATGCGGTGTTGAGCGATGTGGAAGCGGAAGATCCGGTGCCGATCGTAATAAAAAGTCCGAGTCAAGATGATATTCCCGTTGAGAAATTCCGTGAGCTCCTCGATCGCGAGCGAGCCGCGCGGGAGGCAGCCGAGACTTCGAAATCCGAACTACAAGTGTCATTTAATCGATTAAAAGCTCTCGCGCACGAAGCATTAAAAAAGCGAGACGAGTGCTCGAGGCAGAGGGACGAAGCGCTGAGAGAAAAAGAAGAGGCGTTGAAAGCTAACGACAAATTATCGAATGAATTGATTCGAGTGAACGGGTCGAAAGAGGAGATTGAGAAGAAATTCGATGATTTGCAATCGGAGATTGGGAATTCTACGCATATGTTAGTTAGTGGAATTGATAAGATATCAGGGAAAGTTAGTAATTTCAAAAACTTCGCCGGGCCAGGATTGCCTAGGTCGCAGAAATATACTGGATTGCAGGCGGTTGCCTATGGAGTTATTAAGAGAACGAATGAGATTGTTGAGGAGCTTGTTAGGCAGATTGATGTTACTGCCAAAGCTAGAAATGATGCCAGAGAACAGATGGAGCAGAGGAATTACGAGATTGCCATTGAGGTTTCTCAGCTTGAAGCTACAATTAGTGGATTGAGAGATGAAGTTGCCAAGAAAACGAACTTGATTGAGGAGTTCGAGAAGAGTATGGCCGAGAAAGAGGGTAAAGTATCGGAGACTGAGAGGGAGATGTTGGAGAAGATGGATTTGGTGGAGAAGGAAGCATCGGAGATGAGGGACTTAGTTGGTGCGTATGATGATAAGTTGAGGAAGTTGGAGTCGAAGATGGAATCACATAGACCTTTGTTGTTTGATCAGTTGAATTTGGTGGCAAAAATACATGACCGGCTTTATGATGTCATTAAGATAGTTGATAGCAATCATTTGGATTCCGAGGTGTCAGAGTCCTTGTTTCTCCCCCAACAAACGGACGTGGAGGAGAATATACGTGCTTCTTTAGCAGGGATGGAGTCAATTTATGAGTTGAGTCGAATTGTTGCTGAAAAAACAAGGGATTTAGTAGAGGAGAAGAATAGTGAAGTAAAGAATTTGAATGAAACAGTGGGTAGATTAGTGAAGGAGAAAGAACATATTGGTTCTTTACTTAGGAGTGCCTTATCGAAGAGGATTAAATTAGATCCATCCTCCAAAACGAGTGAGTTGTTTCAAGTTGCCGAAAATGGTTTAAGAGAGGCTGGGATAGATTTCAAATTCAGTAAAGTCCTTGGAGATGGTAAGGTATCTTCTGATAAAGGTGGTTCGCCAGACACTGAGAGTGATGAAATATACACTCTGGTAAGTGTCTTTTAGAGTTGATTTATTCAATCATATTTGTAATGTTCGCATGTTTGAAATCCTAATTTGTTGTTTCACTTGTATGTTGTACACAGGCTGGCGCTTTGGAGAATATTGTGAAGGCATCTCAGCTTGAGATCCTTGAGCTGCAGCATTCAGTGGAGGAACTAAGGTATTCCGAAAGATACCTGTAATCATAAGGCTGCATGTAGATAGTGATCTTATTTTATTTGTGTACTGATTAAGTATTTCTTCTGTCACGTTCTGTGCTTTCCTGTATTAAGGACAGAGTCAAGGTTACTGAAAGAACATGTAGAGGTTCAAGCCAAGGAACTAAGCCATAGAATGCGCAGAATAGAGGAGCTTGAAGAGAAGGAGAGAGTGGCAAATGAAAGCGTAAGCTGTTAATGTTTTGTTCAGTCAGTTCAATAAAATAATGAGAATGGAGCTAGAAGTTAGTTTACTGCACTGTTCATGAACCACTTCAGAACGACAAATTATTTTTTAGGCATTTTGGTTTTTTGATTACCAAGTTGGCCTCTCTGGTGTTGTAGGTTGAAGGACTTATGATGGACATTGCTGCTGCAGAAGAAGAAATTACGAGGTGGAAAGTAGCAGCTGAGCAAGAGGCTGCTGCTGGTAGAGCCGTTGAACAAGACTTTGTGGCTCAGGTATAATGAATAAACTGGTCTTAAAAATTATGACAGACATCTACCTGAAATTTGATGGCTGATTGTATGAACTGGTCTTAAAAATCACTTTCTTGATAGTGTAATAAGTTGCTTGCGCAAGTAACTTTTGTGATAATGGGTCTTTAGTTGGCAAGAGTGGTTTAGTTTGAGCAAAATAAAATAATGAGAATGGAGCTAGAAGTTAGTTATTGTTAAATGCATTAAAGGACTGATATGTTTCAAAACCAGAACTAAGCAGTTTCATTTAGACTTTGCAGTTCTCTAGGAAAGTAGATGAGAAATAATTGCTCCATTATAATGTTGGCCAGAGAATGTTTTATTTGTTGAATAGAAAATTGCTTTAGAATAATGAGATAGCTTGAGAATTTTGCAAACACTTGTTCAGCCTTATTATAGTTGAATGCTATCATTACTTCCAAATCCACTTTTTTTCCCTCTGGTGCTACTCATAAAATGAAACATGTGAAGCATAATTGATTATTTGAATATTGAAATTGTGGAATTGGGTTATTATGTTTAAAGTCAATATGGTCTGAGGCAGCTTCATGAGCTGTTTAAAGCAAAGATAACAAATTTCAATGTATTTTTATACTCAAAATACTTTCCAAAGGAGTCCTGATTGAATCTTATGCTTAATCATTATGTACTTGCAGTTGTCGACAGTTAAGCAAGAACTTGAAGAGGCAAGGCAAGCCATGTTAGAATCAGAGAAGAAGTTAACATTCAAAGAAGAAACAGCAGCTGCTGCAATGGCAGCAAGAGAGGCTGCTGAGCAGTCATTGAGATTGGCTGACATGAGGGCATCTAGGCTGAGGGATAGGATAGAGGAGCTCAGCCAACAGCTGGAAGAGTTCGAAACTCGAGAAGATTCGAGGGGCCGAAATGGGCCTCGATATGTATGTTGGCCTTGGCAGTGGCTTGGGATGGACTTTGTAGGCCATCTCAGACCTGAGACACAGCAACAGAGTTCAAATGAAATGGAGCTTTCTGAACCCCTCCTATGATTGTCTCTTTTGTTTTTCCTTTTTGTGTATGTATCATGAACTCTCAAAAATTTAGAAATGGTAGCTAATACACCTTCATTCTTCAAGGCTAGCTTAGTTTTATTTGCTTTGTTTTTTCATACAATGATGAAGATTTGCACAAGCATATCGTGAGTGACTATTTGTTGTATACCACTCTGATGACCTACTTCTCAACATCATTCAAGATGATGATGTACCTTACGGGCGAGATGGAGCAGTTTCTTGTCAAATCTCTTCAACTCAAACTCTCCTTTCTCCTCATTACTATGATGCTACTTTTAAGGTCCTGTTATGCCTAATTTTCCACTATTCTGCTGTATGGAGTCCAGAGAGGGAAGATCTCTTGGCATCCCGTCGTTGATCCCTTTGACCTGTGTGCATCTAAAAGCGTTTTGAGACTGATTTGTTGTTTTTCTCTTGGCTGTAGAAAACAGGTTCTATAATTATTTTAGTACGTATACATCCAACAACACATCCTCCTCCACGTGTAATAAATCATGCACAGACATCTTTACATACAGACAAACTGACGCACAAGGGCAACATAGACATGTAAGGACCCCGTATGTATAGAGGCAAGGCATTGGTATTCAGCTCATTTTATCTGGTTGTGCCTACTGAGGGTAGTTGATGGGCACAAGGCAAAGAGGTGTCTTCTTAGAGATGGTAAGACCAGCTGCCTCTTCCACGCTGATATCTACTGCATTGGGTAATTTCCAATCGAAACAGTATAAGAGGTTTGCAAGTGCAAGCTCCACCATTGTTACTCCCATAAGTATCCCAGGACAAACTCTTCGACCAGATCCACATGGCAAAAACTCAAAATGTTGCCCTTTATAGTCAACATGGCTGTCAGCAAATCTTTCAGGGAAGAACTCGTCAGAACGTTGCCAGTACTTAGACATTAACTTGTATCAGTGTTCTGGGGTAAATCTCATAACCATTGATTTCGCACTGAGACATGGTTTCTCTTGGAAGAAGTAATGGACCAGGAGGGTGCAATCTCAGAGTTTCTTTTATTATCATCTTGAGGTATTGAAGCTCATTATCATCTTGAGGTATTGAAGCTCATCTATACTTTCCTCAGTTACTCTTCCTTTCTTTCCAACAGAGTTCCTAATTTCATGTTGTACTTTCTTCATTATTCTTGGATTCCTAGCAAGCTCTGCCAAGGCCCAGATGACAGTAATCGCACCCGTGTCAACTCCGCCTAAGAATATATTCTGAAACTCGAGCATCACAGGTAAGTTAGATAAGACATCTTCATTTCTTTTAGTCATACAAATGTTATGCAAGTGAGATATCAGGCAAAACCATCTGTAATTACGTTAAGAGATAAACAATTTTGTGGAAGTGATCACTCTGGATGCTGCAAGAGTAGCAAGGTCAATGCCTGTCTTGCTAGCTTCTTATTCATATGGGATTAAAAAAAGAACTAATAATAACCTTCCAAGTGCTGATTTTCAGTAGCTTTAGAGGGAAAGGGTTCATAGCTTACCAGAATGACTGCCTCAATATTATCTTTTGTGAGCTGTGTTGCACTTGATTCAGTTTGATGCCTCCCGTCGATAATGTCTTCCTTCTCTTCTGTCCTCCAAGCTTTAAGATGATCGTCAATCACCTGCTGAAAGAGAGTATCCAGCTTGATGAAAACGTGTTCAATCCTTGCATGATGACCTGTAAGGCTGTAAGCCTATCAATAATCCAACCTACATAGGGAAAGCATTCTTCTGCAGAGAAGCATCCCATTATGGCCTCAGCTTCATGAATCATTTGTTCAAACCTTTCATTATCAAAATCACTTGAGAACTCTTCCCAACGGCCATCCTAAATATCATACTTCAAATAGAGAATACACCATCTCAGTGAGATTAACTGGAGTTGCAGATGATGATGACTGAGATATGGAATTCATAAGCAGAACAACTTCTTCTTCCCTAATGAACCTAAATGACTTCACTCTCTTCAAGCCAAAAAGTTCAAGAGCATATAAGTTTCGCATCTCTTTCCAGTAATCACCGTACGGTGCAAAAGCAACATCTACATAGTTGTACGCGAGTCTTCCTGAGCCAGCTAGGTGAGGTCTACTGCAACAGTTAAGATCATGACTTTTTAAGACCTCTCTTGCAGCTTCAGCAGAGGAAACTACAATAGTTGGTGTACGACCGAGTTGAAGGATAATGACTGGGCCATATCTTTTGGAGAGTTGCCACAAAGACTGGTGAGGCAATGCCTCAAGTTGGTGCAAGTTGCCTATAATTGGCAGCTTAGGAGGGCTTGGTGGAAGGTTCTTTTTCTTTCCTTCATTTATAAGAGAAGAAGGAAAGATAGAAATAAGAGAAGAAGAAATGCCAAAGGTAGAATATAGAAAACCATTTGAGCAACCTCAAGGTTTTTCTGTACCTTCAACTTGACCAGTTATTGCTTAAATATCCCAGCTATTTATGAACCTATAAATTAACTAATTTGAACTGTTAAACTTGCCAGGCCGCTCTTATTCTTTTACTACCCAGATTCGGTTTAGATGGTTAAATTGTCCAAATGCAACACATTCTATATAGAATGTGATCTCTTGTTGGTTTCTCGTAGGAAAATAATGCAACACTGGAAGTTGTTTGCAACCGTTTTGGTTCTGAAATATTGAATAAAAACAAACCTCTACCTCTTGTTCGTCAGGAAACTAATGCTGCTCATCTATCATCCCCAAAGGGAATGCATATCGAATCTTCCATGAACTCCATATGAGGCAAATGAATTTATTAATCATGTGCATGCTTGTCCATTTTGTAATTTGTTTTTATTGCATCCGTATTGTTGGTAATATTGCATTATTGGTCCAAAAGGTGGACAATGTGTTGAGAAAGAATGATATTGTCCGAAATTTTAAGTTTAATTTGCTCTGCAAACTGCCTTCAATCCTGGAAAATTTACTGTAAGTTGAACTTGGTGGATGGAGGTTAGATTTTATTTCTTTCAGGTTCTGATTAACTTGAGATATTGCAGTGCGAATAAGCTAATATATAAACAATTTGATGGATAAGCACGGTATCATTTTAATCAACTTGATTCATCTTATTTGATTCCAAATTCCTTGTTGAGTTTATCTAACTGTGCCCTAATGCTTTCTTTAGCAAGAGATGGCAAGAATACTAATCTTAAATAGCAAGGTTTTGCTTCTGAAAGCAGGCATCAGCTTCGAATAACTCTTTTTAACTCTAGCTACAGCAGTAAGGGAACATGAATACTTGACCCCATTGCGCAGTATTTGGAATCATCCCTGGCTTTGCTACATCTCGTGTTGTATTTTAGCCTGCAAGAGAGTTGTGCAAATTCCCACGGTGCTCATTATATATCTTGCTCAATTTAATTTACGAACAAGTTTTGGATTGGAAGAAAGCACGAAAATGAATCAGAAAGCGATAATCCCACGAGAATAACTTGTGCACGTGCTTTACGTGTCTCAACCTGAGTATCCCTCCCAGGTGAGGATCATATATTATTTATATGCTGCATAAATCCATTTCTCTGTCACTCAGTTGAGGATCATATATTATATCCTTTTCTTAGTCTTACCCCTGCACCAGCACACTGAATTTCATCGTTTTGGCCTTACACACCCGCATTCGGCGCTCCAAATATCGATTAACATGCCTCACCACCGCTAAGGAACCATCTCAGTTCTTGTCTACGGTGCTTCATTAATTCTTGCCTGCATTTATGCAGTGAATCAAGAAATAACCAAATGCTCACTGCTGGAGGCAGTTTTGAGCACGTCCACGGTCCACCTGCTCAACAAGTCCTGGGACGGATGACGTGACAGCTTTCGATGATGAATTTGTGCCTCACTGTGTAAAGCTTATGTAAGCATTTCTTAGTCCATAATAGTCAAGTTTTCTAGTAGGTGGACATGAATGTTAAATTGTATAAACACTCACTTGATTTCTCTAACGTAGTGGATGAATTCGCAACCTTCTGCCAACACCAAAAATGTTTCATAGTCAATGATACATGACCTTATTGTACTGCTTAATGGCCATCTTAGAATTCTTAGATAGAGTCTATTTCATTGGAAAATTTCGGAACTGGTCAATTGATTCCTTCAACCTGGGTAGTATATACTTAATTAAACTTCTTACGTATACTTGTGAGTCATGTTTTTGCATCAAATGATTTTGAGAGACGATGAAGTGAACAGAAGCCTGAATTAGTTTTATGCACCAAAGGATTTTGAGTGACAGTGGTGTGAACAGAAGCCTGAACACCCTTGACAAAATTGACCACCTCATTTATCTCAGGCTTTTGAGAGAGAGAGAGAGAGAGAGAGAGTTAATTTCGTAATAATAGAAAGCAAATATTTCCATATAGCTTCTGTTCCTGAGATGCACCAAGTTCAGTTTGTTCCTTCTCTATTCTCAGCAGAACATGTGTTATGTCATCCTGATACTCTATTCTTCCAGGTTTAAGATGATCATCAATTACATGCTGGAAAAAGGTATCTAACCCATGGAAAACTCTTTCCGTCCTTGCACGGTGACCAGTAACCCAGTCTACAATCCACCCAAAACACGATGGCCTCTATCATTAGCACCATTCTTGAACGGTGGAAACTCATCTTGGCTCGAGTAGTCAAGATGACCACCGGATTTTCAATTCTTTCACCTGTTAAAAACAATCCCTATACGATCCTAATAAATTTGTAATGGGAGTTGTAAGATATACACATAAACTCCACACTTCCGCTATTATTTTTGTGATTCTACTTTGGCATTTGGAATCTGCTTGGATCGTTTTCGTGTTCATATAAATATTTCAGAATATTTATGATGTGGTTTGCGTGAAAATTTGGTTTAAATCCCGTTTTTTAGGTTAATCCCGAAAGTTCTTGCTATATAATTATTTGAAAACTGTTTTTTTTTTTTTAATCCGATAAAATTTATATGGTTATAAAGTACATATCCTCAGCTCATTGCTTTCCAACAGTTCAAAATTTGACTCCACTGGAATTTCATAGTTTGAATCCTAATTATAGACTAAACAAGAAGAAAAGGAGAAGAAGATGATGATGGATTATTAAAAGAGTAAATTATAAATTAGTTCATAGTGAATTAAATTACCTTTTCAGTTTAAAAAATAATTAATATTCTAAATTTATTTGTAATTTAATCTTTTTCTTTTTTAATTTAATTTATTTTTTATTTTAAGAAATAAAAAAGGTAAAAAAATGTAAAAGATGAGAAAAAATATACTTTTTAAAACAAAATAAAATAAATTAACAATGATTAATACTAGAGAAGCAATTAATTAATTAATTTCTAAAATAATATGCACTATTTAATTTGTTTTGTAAAATTAAAAAGACTAATATATATATATTGTAAAAAAATGACACTGCATTCCAAGAGAAAAATGAAAAAAACAACAAAAACAGCAACAACTATCAAGCTAAGTGAACCACGGTTAAGTTGCACGTGCATCTAACCAACTACGGTCAAATAGAAGGAATCATCTCTACCTCCAGAAAGAACAAGGGTTAGATCAAATATTCCTCTGTTGTTAATATATATTTGAATTAATTGATCGATCAAAATCCTGATGATCGATAAAGGGTTGGGGTTTTAGAAATTGTATGAATGAATTAAGAAATGGAGATGGAGTACGTGAGTGAATTTCCTCACAATTACGTGGATCGTCGTCCAAGAAAGAGGCCCAAATTAGCAGCCTGGGATTTCCCTCCTCAACTTCAACGGCAGACTCACACTAAGGTATGGTTTGGTATTATTTTATTTATTTATTGTTATTTAGGATCATTTTGTGTGAGAATTGATCATGTATGTTTAAATTGAATTAGTTCGTGAAAAAAATTCCTTTTTGATAGTATTTTGAGGGTAAAATGAATGGAGTTTAAGAGAGAAAAAGAAATATCTGATCTGTTTTTAATAAATTGAAAGAAAAACTTAGATTCGGATATATAGCTAGGCTTTTTTGTTTTTTTTTTTCTTTTTTTCTTTTAGAATGAAATGCCAATTCAGCCATCAGCCTATAACTGAAATTGTATTATTAATTGTTTAATTTCATAACAAATGGAGCCTTAAGGCCTAAAGGATCGGTTGTTTCTATTATTATTATTTTTATTACTATTGTTTTGTAAGGTAGTCATTTTTTAGGTAGATTTTGATTTTTTTGGAATGGTTTTTCTCATGTTTTAATGAATAAATAATTTGTTAAATATGTCTCGGATGTGTGCTTATAGAATTTCATGTTTTTAGATTAGGACTTTTTGATAATCTTTTTTGTGATATTGTTTTTTATTTTGTAAGTTAATTTCAATATCATGTTATTTTGCTGTTTAAAACTTTTGGAGTTGTTCTTTGGTCTGGTAGAATGCAAATGCAAGGGAACATTTTGTGATTATTATTTGTTTAGTGGAGAATGAACAAATGCCTGTGTGTAGGCTCAGTCAGGATTGTATTATGGGCAAGTGGTTGGAAATGGGACAGGCATTGGATCATCAAGGGTGCTCCCCAACCATGCCAGTCTTTTTATGAATGGATTAGCTCAAAAAGCTCTCCCCCATGGCGAGACGATGACAAAGATGGACATTACATATTTGCTCTTGGGGAGAATTTAACGTCTCGCTGTAATTACACTTAATCACCATTGCAGAGGTTTTGCATTATTATTATGTGACTTGCTATGTTGCATGCATAGTTCCATGCATCAAATTGCCTGTTGTGACATAATAATAGTTTGTTCCTTGCATTAGTTACTTTTTCAAATTTCCTTTTCTTTCTAGAGTGTGCTGAATTTTAAATCAGTATGGATTTTAAAGAGTATCGCTGTGGCCTTTGTGGGTTTCTTTTTCTTGATTTTTGATTTATAATTTGAGTTAAAAGTTTCTTGTGTCCATAGTCCTCTACTGTTTTCTGCAAAACTATATCCTATTGTCCCCACAAAATCAGATATTGCTGACTGGTGATCTACGAGAAAATTAGGATTAATGGACATCCACTCATTTTTCAAGATTTATTTGTTATTACCGTTCGTTACTTTTTTTTTCCTCTTTCTCTCATTCTCTGTGTGTCAAAACGTCTGTCTAATTAAATAAAAGCCTTGAAGTTATTGGTTTTGTTTCATAGGTCTTGATCAAGTTTAATTTTTATATTGAGTTTTCCTTATGCTTTTCTTTCTTCTACTTGCAGATAAGATTCACAGAAAAATTGGTGAAGGTGAGTATTCTTGTTTCTTTTTTAAGAAACTCTACTAGCTTTTAGAACTGATACCTTTCTACTCTTCTGTCTTTATATCTATGCATAGCAACTTTTTTTCCTTTTAGAGTGCATTCTGAATCTTTTTCACAGGCACCTTCGGTCGGGTTTTGGAATGCTGGGATAGGGAAACAAGAGAGATGGTTGCCATAAAAGTTGTGCGAAGTACTAAAAAATATCGTGAAGCAGCAATGTTAGAAATAGATGTGCTTCAGTTGCTTGGAAAATATGATAGAAATGGCAGTCGGTGAGTGTAATTTTTCTTTCAATTTTCTTCATCTGCCTTTTGTTCAGCTTTGAGGCAACTGCTGTCGGCAGTTAACTGGGTGTGTTCTTTGCAGCTGTGTTCAAACAAGAAACTGGTTTGATTATCGTAACCATATCTGTATTGTAAGTATTACTATTTAGTTGCAATTAGTTTATTTTTCCCTTGTTCATAAGTATCCTAGGGCTTATTTGGTGGTGAATTGAAATGATTCTAACAGGTATTTGAGATGCTTGGACCAAGCTTATATGATTTTCTTAGGAAAAATAACTATTACCCATTCCCGGTCGATCTTGTTCGCGAGCTTGGCAGACAGATCTTGGAATGTGTAGCATGTGTGTAGTTGTTACTTAAGCTATTTCTATTACTCTTGAAACTTCTTTTTCGGACCACATTTGTTGTACTGCTCAAACAATTAAGTCACTGTTTCTGTAATTTGTTTGATAGAAGTTCCTCCTTTCTTTATTTTCTTGCATGGAGGCATTCATGTGTCTTATGTAAGCTGGCTTTGATATTGAGCTGGATTAATACTTTGCTTGCTGATGAACTTTTGCAGTCATGCACGATCTGCACCTCATCCACACTGACTTGAAGCCAGAAAACATACTTTTTGTTTCTTCAGAATATATTAAATCACCAGATTACAAGGTATTTCTTTCTTTTTGGGAATTTTTTTACTCTATTTTTCTGTGTTAGCAATTGAAATCTTCTAGTTTTCAGGTTTATGCTTTCCCTTTCTCTTTTTTCAAGATTTTTTACAGTTTACTTCCAGCATAAATGATCTTCTGTTTTTTTTATTTGTTATCAACTTATCATTGCCTCCACTACAGTCACATACTGAGGGGACCTTTTACAAGAGGTTGCCAAAGTCAAGTGCTATTAAGGTTATTGATTTTGGCAGCACAGCTTATGGCCATCAAGATCGCAACTACATTGTCTCTACTCGGCATTACCGTGCACCTGAGGTTATTCTCGGTATGATGTTGTTTAGTCCTCTGCGTTGATCTTTATGTCAGTATACATGTTGAGATTAATGAGTAAGCTTATTGCACCTTTTAGGACTTGGATGGAGTTATCCATGTGACATATGGAGTGTTGGTTGTATATTGGTTGAACTTTGCTCGGTACGTGATGTCCTAAAGGTCAGTATTCTAATTCTTGAAAACTTAATGTGAACGTCGTCCATTTATTATTGTTTGCAGGGAGAAGCATTGTTTCAGACACGTGAGAATTTGGAGCACTTAGCCATGATGGAGAGAGTTTTAGGTCCATTACCTCAGCACATGTTAAAAAGAGTAGTGTGTGTGCTCTTCTTCTGGGACTTCTTTTACTAATAGCCTTTAAATAATATGAACAACTTCAGCACATCAATATTTTACTTATTTTAATTTGGTGGATTGGGGGTGATTGGTTCAGCCAACATGCTGAGAAGTACGTTAGAAGGGGTAGGTTGGACTGGCCAGATGGTGCAACATCTCGGGAAAGCATTAAAGCTGTTATGAAGCTTCCTCGCCTTCAGGTGTGGATGCATTACTTTGTTACCTTGGGTTATATTCCTTCATTCTTGAGGTTCATGTTTCAGAAATTTGTGCTTGCTGCAAACCTATGGAATCTTCTCTAGACTCATTTTTGTGTTACATGCATAATATTGTTTCCTTGTCAGAACTTAGTAATGCAGCACGTTGATCACTCTGCTGGAGATATCATTGATCTCTTGCAAGGTCTCCTTAGATACGACCCTGCAAATAGACTAACAGCTCATGAAGCCCTCAGGCACCCTTTCTTTACAAGGGATCATTACAGAAGATCTTGAGTGGGGAGTTCAATAATACTTGCTTCTGGTGTGATTGAAAATGGTTTGTTAAGTGAAGAGTCGAGCTGGCTGATGTGGGTTCCTGCATTGCTTTCTATTACCGTATTACTGTATTTCTTGACTTTGTGGGGGATTGGGTGGGTTAGCCTGGGAATCTGGGCTGCCTGTTCAATTTTTCCTTCAAAATTGAACAGTTTTTTGATAGGAGGTTTCTCTGAGTCCCAAGTTTTGTGCTACGGAGTAGTTTTCTAGCATTTTTTTTTTTTTTTTGGTCAAGGACTGATTTGCCATAAGGTGTACGATACCTTTCCAGTGTTGTAATTTACTTTTGCCCACCCGGTGTTGTACAAGGGAGGAATATTTTGACAGAAATGTTTGAAACAAGGCCTCTGGCTATTGCAGATATGTTGTAATTTCCAGTGATTGGTTATGAATCAGTAAAGGCCATATTATGCTTTCAATCATGTATTGTCTTTATCTATTTTTAGGTATTGCGATTTATTCCTGTCAATTTCTAAAGTTAAATGCATAGGCATTCATGTGAAGGGGAAAAATGGAACAAGACGATAAGAGACTGAAAATCCCGAAATCTATGAAAAGTAGGGGGGAAAACGGGAAAACAAGGCCGAGGAAAAATCATTTCAGGTCTGATACTCTTTAACAATATGCAAAATCAATCAATGTTTACTAGTTCGGAAACAATTGCATGTATTGGCAAGTTATAGAATACTTCTCATCGTTTCGTTCTGCATTTTGTAGCTCGTAGGACTCCACTAGGAGGAGCCGTCACCAGGATGGTGCAATGACCATACAGCCGATACGAATACCTTAGCAAACTCCCCAGTTTAGATCGCACCCGAAATACTCCTTTCAAGTCAAATATGACTCCATTTTTACCAATCTGTTCCTGAAGCCGTTCGCCTTGCACTATGGGAAGCCGAACCTGACTAGTAACCATATGAATATTTTCGAACCTGGACTGAGCCTTCCCGGCCGAGAAAGGTTCTATATATTGGGTAGCGAGAAGAGTGCTGCCGTAGTATAGATCAATGATCATATAACTGAAGTCCACGCTCACTTTCTTGTTTGGATTGGTGAAGTTTGCGAGCACAGAGAGATCAGCATTAAGTAGAGAGCCTGCATCGATGTAGGCTGCATTTAAGGTGGCACTGGACACATCAAACCGTGGACTGCGTGGGCGATATACTAGGTAGACTATAAGGATGATTAGACCTCCTAGGAATATGACAATCCAAAAAATTGCGCAGAAAACTGCACCTAACCATATTATCGGTTGGGTTCGACCAGGTCTTGGCATCCCAAAACCACGTGAAGGTCGATCGCCGTCAAGACGCTGTGCTGGTGGGACTCCTGGACTATGAGACTGCCAGGGTTGGCGTTCTTGATGCTGTGGCTGTGCCACCCCAGAACCACGGTCTTGATGTTGATGCATCGATTGTACATGGGGTTCTCCATCATGCCTTGAACCACGTGGCTCGGGATGTTGTCCTCGGGGCTGCGTTGGCAGCAGCCATGGGCTCTGGAATTTCTCATCATGTAGTGGAAAATGTGGTTGGGGATGTTGGCCTTGATGCTGTGGTGGCAGCGTTTCTGGACTGTGGACTTGGTTGCCATGCAGTGGAAAGTGTGATTCGGGATGTTGGTCTGCATGCTGTTGTGTTGGCGGGATCCATGGACTGCGGAATTGGCCGTCATGCTTTGGTTGCGCCACTGATGCACCCTTCGTCTTGGAACCTTGGCCTTTGATCCGTGGTCGAGTCACCGGTCGGCCATGTCGTAGCTGGCTTTGTTGATCTTGAAGACGTGACACCCCAGGACTAGGTGGTGCCTGGAAGTGTGGGCCTTCACGATGTTGCAGCTGTGTTTTATTAAAGTGAGGGTTTGTTTCTGGATGCCAAGACATGGTAGCATGGAGATGGTTGAGAAATGAAGAATTGCAGGAGGAGAATAAGAAGAGTTTTTGCTGGACCAAGGAAAAAGAGGATGACTTCACGAGAACTTCAAGTAGGATTCATATCCAGGCAAAGAATCAAACATAAACTAATCACGGGAGGCAAGTAATCTTGAGTGATTCCGTTTCTTTAAGGTTGCATCTTTAGATAGTCTAATACATGGTCCAAGGATACAGGACCAGTTGCTTCCTAATTACACTGCACAGTGGACGGCAGAACCAACCTCTCCATTCCAATTTTAACGTCCACTTCTATTCAGGACCCTATCCCTCGTTGGCTTGTACCATAGATGGAAGACTGCTCACAACTTTTTTTTTTTTCCTCCCTCTTTTTTAACTATTTGTATATAAACTTTTGAGGGAAGCAAACACAACGCCTGGGCCCCATAATGGTAGCAAATTCTCAAATTCTCCTTTTCTTTTATCTTTTTCAATAATTAAAAAAAAAAAGAAAAAAAGAAAAAGAGTTAACAATAGAATCTAGGGTTACAAAAAGAAAGAAAAAGAGAGGTGGCCGTCTATCTGTAAACCAAGCATGAAATCGTCCTGGAATTGGCAGTTTGTTACTGGGATTCTGAACGTGCATAACTATCTTCTTTTGTCGCTTTCAAGCAAAATACAAGAGGAATTCCCAATCTTGCATTTCTCTTCTCACTAGAGCAATGATAATAATTGTTTCTACCCCAGAATGGCCAGCTAAGTGGAGAAAAGGATGGGCTTATATATATATATATATATATATATATATATATATATATATATTATAAGAAATACTGAAACAAAACGTTTCACTGTGGATTAATTGTTCATAATTTCTTTTTTTTTTTTTTTGGCTGGAGCCAAAGTATTCTTTTGGCTTTTAGTAAACTTTATTATTTTTATTTTAGTTCTTGATTTGTAATTTATTTTATTTTGGTCATTAAAATTTTATTATATTTGATTTTTATCCTTATAATAAATATTTTTACTTAGCTTTTAGTATAATTTTTTTTTTTTTTTTGGTTGCTGGAGCCAAATCCTTCTTTTGGCTTTTAGTAAACTTTATTTTTATTTTAATCCCTATTTTGTAACTTTTTTTTGTTTTTTTATCATTAAAATTTTATTATATTTGATTTTTGTCCTCAAAATAAATATTTTTTCTTCGCTTTTAGTAAAAATTTATGTTCTTTTTTGTTCTTATATTGAAATATGTTTTTATTTTAGTCATTAAAATTTTATTATATTTGATTTTTATCTTTACTATACTAAAACTAAATAAAGTTTGACTATCCCAAGCGTTTTTTTTTTTTGATTTTAGTGAAACTTTTTTTTCTATTATAATTCCTGTTTTGTAATTTTTTCTTTGTTTTTGCCATTAAATTTAGTGGAATTTTATTTTTTTATTTCCTGTTTTGTAATTGTTTTTTATTTTGATCATTAAAATTTTATTATATTTGATTTTTCTCTATAAAAAACTATTTTTTACTTTTAGTAAAACTTTTTGTTATGTTTTGGTTTTTATTTTGTGATCTTTCATTTATTTTGATCATTAAAATTTTATTATATTTGATTATTATTCTTTCTACACTAAAATTAAATACGGTTTCACTATTCTAAGTTTTTTTTTTTTTTGGCTTTTAGTAAAAAAACATTTTTTGTTTTGGTTCTTATTTTGTGAATTTTTTTTTTTGGTTATTAAAATTCTATCATGTTTTACTTTTGTTCCTGCCTTATACATAATGATTTTTTTTTTTTAGTTTTATTGTTTATAATTTTTTTTTTTGGCTTTTAGTGTTTTTTTTTTATTTTGATCATTCTTTTATGATCTATATTTTTTTTATCATTTAATTTTAATCGTCCGTGATTTTATCTCTATTTTTTTTTTTACCAAATTCTTGATTTGACAATTTTTTTATCTTTTTATTTTGGATGATCTCTCTATCTCATTAACAAATTATAGATGAAGAATATATAGTAAAAATTAATAATCTAAAATTCAAAAAACTACTACATCATTATTTTAATTACCAATTATTATAAATATTTTTAATAAAATACATATTTATATCTAATAATATTTAATTAGCAATATTATATTATTCAACTTTGCGGACTTTTCATTTAGTTAACCCTGCAACAAAATATGAAACATATATTTTGGTTCTTTTTTAAAATTTTTTTTCACGTGATCCTCTTAAATAATTATTTTAAAATTTTATATTTTATATGAATGAACACATAAAAATATTGTATAACTCATCCTGTGACAACGCGTGGGATATATGTTAGTATAAACTAAAGTAAAATGATTGTTTAATATTTATTAACATGTTCATTTACTTTAATTTTCACTATTAACCGAGATTCTCATGCGCTATTTTTTTACTATACAATAATATTTTTATAATTTTTAAAAAATATTTATTATGAAAAATTTCATAAAATTACAATTTAATTTTTCTTTTTTAAACATTATTTTTTTAGTCTATATTTCATTTAAAATTTTGATCTTTCTTTTTTGTTTCATTTTAATCATTTTGGTTTTTGCTTTTGTTTTTTTCTCTGATTTTATTAATTAAAAAATTTAAGGTAAATTAAATGTTTTTTAAAACTTATAATATAAATTTTCAGTTACAAATCCATGGATTTTGATATTTTTTCTTACATAATTATAAATGTTTTACTTAAAAACGTTTATAGATATAAATAAATAATGTTTTTTAATCAAAAATTTATATAAAAAAAAACATAAAAAAATCAATTAAATAAAAAATTTTAATTAAAAAGATAAATAAATTTTTATTCAATTTTAATTTAATATATTTTAATATACGTACAATATGACACAAAACAACATACTAAAATAATTTTTTAAAAATAATTTTATATATTTTATCTTATCAGCAGTACAATACAGATAAAAAAACTAGTAAAATGCTAAAGAAACCAGCTCCTATAAGCAAGCAATACTACTCGCAGTGAAATCTAAATCATACAAGAGAGGGTGTGTTCGATTTCTTCTAGCCAAGGATAATAAATCTCATTACATCATAAGGCTCTATTTCTGACTTGGAAGTAATCAGCTACAGGAGTCCCGGGTGCTTCAAAGGCACACCATCTTTGCATAAACAATCAATTCGTAATTTTTATGTCATCTTTGCATCATTGGCCTCATTTATTGGAGTCGCAGTTTCATCCCTGAGATCTATTCAGTTATTAAATTCACATATCGGCAAAAGCCCGGCTATGAGCTAACAGATATTTAGACAACACGAGGAAACCTCAGCTCCATTTCCTTTAATTAGCTCATTTCCTGCAAGATCCGGAGAAATATTAGCAAAGATTTAACAACAGTCATCTCACCTATGCTATTTGCATTCAGTTTTGTTTCCATTTAACATGATATGACTAAGAATGGATAGCCAGGATATCACGTTTGACACATTTAGGGTTTGAGGACCTATACCTCTGCATCTGGATTTTAAAGCTTGAGCTCAAACATTAGTGATCTTGGATGTCTGACACTGTTGAGGAAGCCTAATCACACTCAAGAAACATGAAGAGGTTGTTAAGTAGGTGAGAGAGGGATATCATAAGACATTCTTAATTAAGATCCTACACATACAGCTTGCTTTAGGAGAACGTAGGGGGAGACTGGAGGAAATGAAAAGCTAAAATGCAAAATAGAAGAAACTCTTAAATTTTGACAGATGGAATTCCTATTTCTTGGCGCTACATTTTATCTGTTAAGAATAGGAATCATTAATTAATTAAAAGAAAATGGATTGTAATTCTCCTATATTGCTCCCAGTCTGATAATTCATATATAAATATACATTCTCAAGCTGAAACCTAAAAGATGGAAGAAAAATAACATGGACATGTTGCAATAATTTTTACCATCATGAGGGAGAAAAGGTGTTTTAAATAAAAGGGGATAAATCTTACAAGGATGGACTCCGTGTTCTTCGAAGTATCTGACTTCAAAGCACCAATCCCGTCATACACTGCATATTTTCAGTTAAATCATAAATGTCACTTTCCTTGGCAACATTCAATTGAAATTATCCAAACAGTGAAATGTTACTAAAAAATAATTAAAAAGAAAAAAAGATCGTCCTGGAACCACACTGAACCATGCCCATCTCCCTTTTCTTCATGCCATTTTTCATTTCATACGTAACCAGCAGAGAATTAGACTTAAGGGCATGTATGCATAAGAAAAAATTTCAGGAAGGACTGCTGCTCAAACCTGAGTGCCCCATTATTGCAGTTTAGAAAGAAGCCAATGAAGCAGCAGCAATATAGGCATGCTAAGATGTACTCCAACCACAGAATACTCCAAAACTCAGGCTTTGTGATTGACTGCAGAGGGGAAGAGAAATACCAGTTAGATGAAGGGATACTCAATCATTCAGCCATTCAGTTGCTTAGCCATTAAGGGCACATGCAGAAACAGTAAAAGATTAATGTGATGCAGTGAAGTCGAATCAACATTATACATGTAAGAAATGCACGTGCTCAGTAATCTAGAACACCCTGCAAACCATTTCCAGATGAAAACGAGAATTTGTATAACAATATGAAACCAATAACTAACCTGCATCCTTTAAGGGCCAATTGCATGCTCATACCCACTTTACAAGAGTATTCAGTCATTTTCAAATTCAACAGCAAAACTGATTTGTTGGCCAAATAACATCTAAGCATCAGAAATAGTTACCGGAAAATCTAGTGCCTAAGAATCAATCACTAATGGCTAGCAAAACAGTAAACTGACTACTCTCTACTCTCTAGAAATCATAAAAACAAGGTTTGCCTGACAAAGATCTGGCATGTTTAAGAGGATTTCTTGCATCTAGAATAATGGCCATCAGTCGTCTGTAGTCATTGCAAATAATGGCCTAGTAAAATCACTCCACCTAACTGTCATTCATAATTGGCATTAGAAAGAACAAAAATCAGTGAACTTAAATTTCCAGCCACTATGTAGTTCACAATTGCCATCATACAAAAAAAATTCCAGATTCTATAAAGTTTGCAGAAGATAGGCACTTAAAGCTAACCAGTAGCATTGCTCGATTGAGATGTGCTATGTAGGTATTGAATACCACATAAATCGCCAATAACAATAACAAATCATTCCTTTACTGGCCCAAGAGCATATCATTCCAGTAAAATTATTTACTATTGTACAATTTAGCACAACACACACACATACAGAGAAGGTCTGGGAATGGAAATTATAGAATATACAAACCATTTCTCGTTTCAATGATGTTCTCTTGGCTGGATGGCATTGATCAGTGTTTCAGATACAGCTCTGTCAAGAGTAAGGCCCTTCTCCATCATCTGATCCCACACCCTACAAGCATCTGCAAGCTTCTTTTCCCGTATAAGAACTCCAATGATCAACTTATAAGTCACTTCATCAGGAAAGGATCCCCTTTGCAGCATTTCTTCGTATAGATGCATAACTTCAACTACTCTCGAAGATTTGCAAAATCCATTTATAAGGGCATTATATGAAACCACGTCGGGAGTAATACCCTTTTCTACCATATCACAGAAAATGTTGTGCGCCATCTCAACTTTCCCACTCTTGCAGTGGTGATCAATGATGGTCGTATAAAATATCCGATCAGGCAAAAGGCCCATTCCTGCCATCTGATCAAGAAGCTTCTTTGCTATATCAGATCTACCTTCTCTAAGAAAATCTTTTATAAGTATTGTGAAAGTTACCACATCTGGGGCAATCCCCTTTCGTGCCATTTCCTCAAACAGCTTATAGGCCCTTCTCGTATTGCGAACACTGCAAAATGCTTTGATAATAGTATTGTATGAAACGACATCACAAATCCCTTTTGGCTCCATCTTGGTCACCATAAACATATAAGCTGTATCCGGGTGATTAGCTTTACAAAGTCCCTTAAGAAGCTGATTATAGCTATATACATCAGGTTCTATCCCACTTCTCTCCATCTTCTTCAACAACTTCTCTGCCTCATCAAACATAAACTCATCGCAACAACAATTCAATAACACATTGTATGTAACTAAATCCGGCTTGCACCCATTCCTCCTCATGAAAGACATTATCGCCAGCGCCTTATCAATCCTACCTGCTCTACAAAACCCACTAATCAATGCATTATAAACCAATGCACTAACCTCAAACTGACCACTACTAATTACACCAATTACAAGGTCATAAGCTAAATCCACATTGCCCCCATTACACAACCCAACAGCAAGCGCCCCACATGCCTTATTATCCGGTCTAATCCCTTTATCTAGCATATTGCGCCAAAACTGAACAGCAGCATCAAATTTCTTCATTTTACACAAACCATCAACAATAATAGTAAATGTCGCAACATCAGGTTCTCTCCCTCTTTCAACCATTCTCTCAAACATCTCTAATGCTGACTCTACCCTACTCTCACGAAACAAAAGATTCAAATAGATATTAAAAGCCCAGATATCGGGCACGCAATTAATCCTCTCCATGTCATTTACCAATTCATCAATAAGTGCAAACTCTTTTATCTGGCATAAACCGGAAATGAAGCGAGAGTAAGTAAAGGAAGACAAGGAGAACCCAAGAGGGGCCATTTTAGAGTAGTAGTGGTGGGCTAAATCGAAACGAGAGTGGCGAATTAAAACGCCAATGAATCGGTTATAATCGATGCCAAAAACACGACAATCTGAAATAGTCAATTCGTCGAACACCTTGACTGCGTAATCGATTAGACCAGCTTTGACATAGTTAGCAATGCGAGTACGGTATATGAGGCGGTGCACGCCCAGAGGTTGATACATGTCAGAGAGATATGCATATTAATGGATTGAATGGTGAGCTCATGGGCTTTGTCAATGCAGGAAGAGAGAGCGTAGAGAGAGAATCATCAGTAGATGGAAATGGAAGGCTGAAGCATCTTTTATTACGGAGAGAATTTGTGAAAAACGAAGAAAAGCGGTAGTAGTAGTCGTAGTAGTAAGTTTCGTTTAGCTGAGCTCTAGCTAGTTTCGGCGATGGAGAAATGAGAAGGGGAGAGACAGCTGAGAGAGGAGAAGCGGAAAACTGGAGTTGGGGGCCCAAATCAAAATAACATCAGACTACCTTACTCTCTGTTTGGTCTTTCAGTATTTTTTTTTCTTTTTCAAGTCGAAATTTAGATCTCGATTAACTTAAAAAATAGAAGGTAAAGAAAGACAGACAGATTAGATGATTTTCCTATGATATTCGGAAAAGCAAATACGACATAACAAGATGAGATGCGTTTGCCTCACAGAAACGAGAGGCATCCCAAATTTAAAGTAAACTGTAAGATTAATTAGGATACATATACGTAATAATAATACATGTACAAGTCTTGATGAAAAACTTGAGTTAAAACTATAAAAAGAGGAATCTAGTCATCTTTCTGTCTCTTAATGAAAAAAAATAACAAAAATTATATATAAAAAAATATTAAAAGGACATTAATTTCCATCATTAAAAAAAAGATCAAGAGAGAAATTAGTCTTCATCCACATGCTTTTTAGTATTGATTCAAAGGTTAAAATATGAATCAATGTATGTTTTTCTTTTAAAGTTATGTAAAAGGCATGAAATTCTAAGATTTATGGATATGTTAAATTTATATTTATTCTTTCATCTATTTATAATTGTTGATTATAGTTCACATGTCGTATTACTACATGGCTTAGAAACTCACTAGTCGGTTGCTTGCGTTACGCTACGAGTCTAGTTAAATAAAATCATTTTAAAATTTTTTAATTATAATTTAGTATTTAATTAATTTTTTTAATAAATTATTTTCTTTAAAAAATAAATCATTCTTCTTTATGGATTGATTTTAACTAAAATATTAATCAAGAATTAAAAAAACTTTAAAAATATATTTTTCATAATATTGTGTTAAAAAATAAAGTTATAATTAATAAATAGACTTTTATAAAAACTAATAAATGGAAAAAAAAATTCTTATTTAATGCTAATGAGAAGATTAATTTTTTTAAATGATCCACGAAGCGCAACGGGTATATAGAATAAAATCATTTCAAAATTTTATAATTTTTTTATTAATTTTTTATTTGATTATTACTATTTTTTATGTTTCACATAATTTCTGCTTAAAAAATGATTTATTTTTCTTTATTTAGGGATTCCTAAATAAAAACTTGCAATATATAATTTAAACCTAAAATATTAATTAAGAACTTAAAAATAAATACTCTAAACATATATTTTTATAAGAATATATCCAAAAAATAAAGTTACAATTAATGTATAGACTTACATAAAAATTAATCAATAAAAAAATAAAAATTTATTCTTATTTAATATTGATAAGAAGATTATTTTTTAAAGTATATATATTTGATCTATACATATTATATAATCATCAGTTTGTGTGAAAAAAAGTAACGATTGATTTTTAAAAATTTTAACACCCAATTAAATAAAAAAAAGAACATAAATTGATGAAAAAAATCAAAGAAAAAACCAAAGAAAAAAGAAAAGAAAAGGCATGTAGTGCATTAGCTAGGGATTAAAATTTTTATTTTAAAATTTCAAGGATCAAAACGAAATAATTTAAAAATTACAAAAAAACTTAAGAAAAAAGAAAAAAATAAGAGCGAAAATAAAAAAGAAAAAAAACTAAGAGTGAATAGCTCATTGTGAGGGTAAAAGAAAAAAGGAGCGAATAGTACTTTGTGAGGAGAAGAACAATATTACCATAAAAACAAAAACTTTAAAAATATATTATTTTATAAGAATATATCGAAAAAAATAAATTTATAATCAATGTATAGACTTGCACAATAATTTACCGATGAAAAAATTAAATTTTATTCTTATTTAATGTTGATGAGAAGACTTTTTTGAAAATATATATATATATATGATCGTCAATTTATGTTAAAAAAAAAAGCGACGATTGATTTTTAAAAATTTTAACATCCTATTAAATAAAAAACATAAATTGATGGAAAAAAAAGTAAATAAAAAAGAAAGAAAAGGCATGTAGTGCATTAGATAGGGATTAAAATTTTTATTTTAAAATTTTAGGGATCAAAATGAAATAATTTAAAAATCACGAGAAAAAAACATAAGAAAAAAATAAGAGTGAAAATTAAAAAAAATTAAAAAATTAAAAAAAAAACCTAAGAAAAAAGAAAAAAAAACTAAGAGCGAAAATTAAAAAAAAAAGAGTGAATAGTACATTATGGGGGTAGAAAAAAAAGAAGTGAACGAGTACATTGTGAGGGGGTGATTTTTAAAGCATATACATTTGATCTATATATATGTTATATAATCATCGGTTTACGTGGAAAAAAATAACGATCGATTTTTAAAAATTTGAACACTCAATTAAATAAAAAAGAACATAAATTGATGAAAAAAAAGAAAAAAATAAAAGACATATAGTGCACTAGTAAGGGATTAAAATTTTTATTTTAAAATTTTAAGGATCAAAATGAAATAATTTGAAAATTAAAAAAAAAACTTCAACAAAAAAAAAAAAAGAGTGAAAACTACACAAAAAAATAATAATAATAATTAAATTTTTTTAAAAAAAGAAAAAAAATAAGAGTGAAACTTTAAAAAAAAAAAAAAAAAAAAAAAACTAAGATTGAGTAGTATAGCGTGAGGGTAAAAAAAAAAAAAAAACCCAATATTGTTTAAATGAATAGTACAGGTGTTTAAATGAATAGTACAACGGTGTAGGGAGTTGACTATTCATTTGAGTAGTGAACTCCCCATGAGTTTTAGTTATATACTAATGTTTTTTTGTTTAAGACAATGGTTTTCTCTCTTATTTATGAATTTACAATCCAAATTATAAATTTGGTTGCAAGTAATTTTGGCTTATACTTTACTTATCTTTTGAATGGATCAAATATATTAAGGTTTTGACATATTAAAGTTTTTTCGTGTTGGTATATATATGTCATTAAATGATTCAAGTATTATATTTACAATTTAAAATTTTGTATAAAGAATGATTAGTTAGTCATCAAAGTGGCCAAATCTTATTGAGAATAAATTTTAGATTGTAAAGTATTTTCAATTACTCATAAACTCTAAAGTTTTAAATGATATTAAGTTATACAATTATATTTGTTTATGGGTAAATTGAAGTTTGCTAATATAAGACATTTTAGAATCAGTCCAAACGCCGATTAATTATTTTTATAATTGACAAAAATAAGTGTAGTGATTAGTATGTTCTATTGATTTTGCTTTGCATATCCGAAGATAGCAAAATAAATCTATTTAGAACATATGTTATCATTAATTATTGTTTATGTTTGTATATTTTAGTACTACCCAAAGAAGAACTTTGATGTACCTTATGCTTATCAATTATATATATATATATATATATGTGTGTGTGTGTGTGTGTGTGTGTGTGTGTGAATTTATGACTTAAAGTATCAATGTATGAATATCTTATTTTACTTCAAGTATTCGTGTTTTTTTTTTTTACTTTATTCACTTGTTTCATCTCGTTTCTATTTCTTAATTGATTGAATTTCTTTTATTGGTAAAAACAAGTATAGTTTCATTTAGGTGTTTTGGATTTTGATTTAACACTTCAAGTTGACATGCTTACTAATATTACCAAATAGACTAGTGCCAATGAAAATTTTTTCTATCAAGTTAGAAAAGATCGAACATATTAAGCATAATGTTTATGTAAATGACAATGACAAATAACTAAAAGATCTTTTTTCTTAAAACTAACAATGTTAAGGAATTTGTGGAAGAGTGCTTTCAAACTATCGATAAACCACTTGCTGGTACATTATTGAGCATTTTAACCAATATGAAATATGATGGTCCACATACCATGCATGAGCATGTTCTCAAGATCATGATCAAAACAACAAAATTAAAGACCTTAGAAGCAAATGTTAATGAGTACTTCTTAGTACAACTTATCATAACCCAATTTTGGGCCCCCATAAATATTTTAGAAGTTCTTTTTTTTTTAATTCTTTTATTTTATTCTTTTTATAGTATATGTTGTCCATGAATTTTATTTATTTTTTTATTATCACTATCAGCTTTTTTTTATCATTAACTTTTAAAAGTTTGGATTAATTATGTTTATCATTCTAAAATGAAACAAAAAAGAGAAAGAGAAAAGAAAAATACAAAAAGAATTTGATCAATTTCCCCTCTATCATTTAGTTTATCTTCTTCTTTTTTTAATATTTTTACCATAAGCACAAAAAAAAAAATACATAAGAAAAAAAAAGAGTTAATTTCACATTCTAGGGATTCAATTGCAATTAATTTGAAAAAATATTATGGGTCAATTCACAAATATCATAAGTCTTGGGAAACAATGAAGAATAAATTGAGGGTTGATAGGAAGGAATTAAAACTAATATGACCAAAATGACCTATTCGAGGGACCTAATTGAAAGAAAATTGGAATGTAGAGGGATAAAATTGTAAGAAACGAACAGATGATAGGACCAAACCGAAGCATAAACAAGACAAGTGGAGGTCGTGCAAAAACCAAACAAAAATCCTAATCCATCTAACATCCTTCCCTTTCAATCTTGTTGCCACCATACCTACACCGAAACAAAAAACAAAGAGAAGTTAACAAGAAAACAAAGGAGAGGAGGGAGCTTGGTGAGCAAGAAAAATGAGAGGTCGGGATTGTTTCAAGTGAAATGGAGGGTGAGGATAAAAAAATGCTATATAAAATAGAACCAATGGAGGCTGGTAAAGAAGAAAAAACACTAAGAGAAAAAAAAGTAAAAAGTTTTTAGGGTTTTTTTAAGTCATTATC